ATAAAGCCTGTTGTGCACCTGAAAAACACCTCAAAGGGCCAGAAGAATTTCCCTGCTAAAAGCAGTATAACTACAGCTGCTGCTTGTGTAAAGCACTCAACAACAGAAAGTGGAACTGCTTTGGGTTTGGAAATGTGAGACTCGTAAGTCAAAATGGGCAAAATCTCTCACAAGTTAGTGGTAGCACAACTACTGGCCACAGTAGAGCCCAACAGCTGCAAATCTACATGAATTTCCTCCAATGTGCTAAAAAATGACTGTTGGACCTGTATTAAAGCATGCAAATAAAACTTTGGGATGTGCAAATGAACGTCAGGGAACAGCAAATTGGAATGATGATTCTGTTGTGCTGTGGCTGCACTTGTTGCAATATTCTTCTTGACCAGCCTTTGCTGTCAGTTCTGATCTTAGTCTTTGGACTCCTGTGAGAGGTGCATTGAGATATATTTGGACAGACTTCTTCACTGTGGGTGCTGTCACAGTCCATGTGTTCCTTACATTAAAGGTAATATATTTTAAAAGCGTAAGGTCAGAGCATCAGGTACTTTTATAATGCTACCTCCTTTTTCGTGTTGTTCTCTGCTGCTAGTCCAGGTACTTTTCTTGAATTTTTTGCATGGCCTCCAAGATTTAGAAATGCCATCAAAGGAGGAATTTACCAAAGTGCTGAGCTCTTGGAGGTTCTGCGTTCATTCTGGTACAGTGGAGAATGTAAAGTATTAACTACTATTTCATTTGGTATAAATTAAATTCACATATCAACAACTTAGTGTTAAACACAAGGAGAAATGTTTTATCTGAAGATCACGTTAACCAAACATACAATTGACAAGCGTTTATATTGGGTCAGTTGAGGTAGAGAGGCTACCTACAAACATCAGCAATTACCTCTTCGTGGTAAATTGAAGTCACTGATATTAAAAGTTGGACTTAGAATAATCTTAAACAATAATTCCATGAGAGTTTGAGAGCATATTCAAGCAGCAAAGTAATAATTTCATATTTGAAGTTGATACATAAGCCTTTAAAAGTAGCTACTCTGTAGTTTTTAGAAACTCACTTCTGCATGGAATAATTAGGTCTACTATCCTAATACTATATAAAATTTAATCACAGAACTGTGGGGTACCTCTCATGATGACTTATTTCCATTGTTGAACTACTCACAGTATAGATTTACTAGCATTAGTGCCAACACTGTCTGTGATCTTGAAGTTGCTCTTGTTCTTCTGTTTAAGCAGGGAATTTGACTACTCATGAGTCTGATCATCCCATTATTTTAAAAACTGCTTCTCTTATTAAAATCAGAAGTTTTCATTCCCTCCAAAGCAGGTTTTTTGGTGGGGGGCACATATTTATGATCAAACAATTCATACCCACTTTTCTTGTCCCATTTCTGGCCAATTGCAACAATGCTGGTGTTAAGTGCCTATGAAACACTATTAAAGTAATCATATTTTCAGGCTCTGTGCCTGACTTCACATGGAATCATTTATTTTAATACTATGGGAAATAAGGTCACTGCAGATAACAGAGTTTCTGAAGGGTGAAATGTTCCTCACTGCAGAATAGCAGCACAGTATACCCAGATGATGATGTGCTGTAAATTACTTCTTGGAAGTCAGTGGATTTTAGCATTTGGAATACAAAGACCAAAGAGTGAATGAGAGAAATCAGAACATAGAGGGAAAAAATGCAGGGTATCCAAGCTCTTGCTGGAGCACCCGATGACATGTATGCAATAATTTCTCAGATCTGCCTGACCACGGGTGGTTGCACCTATCTTGTTAACCAGGATGAGCCCAGGTCTGAAGCACTAGCAAGGTTTCGTTGGTGGATGGTCGGCCTTATGAGCTCCTCGTGCCCTTCCATAACAAATAAAACCCTCTCAGCTCTGCCACCAGCCTCAGAATATCCTTGTGCTTAGCATCTGTCATGGCCCTCACACACCAATGACAGATATAGTCAACACTATGCACCTAAATAGAAAGGTATAAGAATTGTGGACTAGTTTGATCCTTGCAGCTTTGAATTTCAGAGATCACTCGAGGATTTTTTTTTTTTTTTTGTGGAAACTGTAAACAATCAACAAAAAAACAAAAAAAAGGCCCAAGCCTCTTTATCTTCCAAATGTAGTAAGAAGTGTTTAGATACACACTTTAATATATTTTCTGTGGCATTTTTGTAAAATACAGATATATAATTATAGATATAATGCATATATAGCATTTACTATGTCAATAAAAAGCTAGCCTTTTCACAATGACACACCAATAAGTATTTACAATATGATTCAAATTTTAAGGAACAAAAGTTTCAAACAATACTGTGCGGTTATATAAGAATAATTGGAGGAAAAATAAGAGACCAGTACTAGATAAATCCCAGATGACAAAGTACATACTACTACCAGGAGCACCCCCATGCATAAACCTTTGCATAAACCTCCATGCATGTCTCCATGCATAAACCTTTCTCCTTTGCAGAAATATGCATGGTTTAGCTCTTCCATGTTTCTACCCGGCCACAGTCCCTTAAGATGACACGTAGAATTATCTCACTTATCCTTTTTCAAGTACAGATTAATTGTACCACTCCCTTCATTTAAAGCTTTGTCCAACTGCAACATTTCAAAGTCTTGACTACAGCAGAAATTACTATGCACGTCTTGTTAAATCAATGCAGCTATGCAGTTTACACATTTGAAAATTTACCCTTCTTCTGCACATTTTAAATTTTACAAATTTAACATTTTACAAATCATTAGTTTCGGGGTTTTTTGAGCAGTGTTTTAGCATTGGAAGCCTTTGTTGGAGATCTGACTCAAAAGAAACTGGAACACCAAAACCAGCCGGAGATCCAAAGTACATGAATGCTTTGTTACCTTCATACATGAAGACTGTCTAAACATACTTGCCTCTTTAGCATATTGTTCCCATATCCTATGAGGCATGGAAGTGCTATTCCATTTCACATTTGGGGAAAAAAAAAAAAAGTAGATACAGTGAGGCTAGGGAATTGCCCAATTGCCCAGTGTCACTTGGGTAGTTTATAACAGAGCAGAGAAAAGAGAAACAAATCCACGTCTTCCAAATTTTAGACTCATCCTCTAAACTTTCCAGCTCCAAAGGAGAACTTCATAAATCAGTATTTTTATATGTATAACACAAGCATACATATAACTAATAAAAATAAAGTATTCTCTGTGCACGAGTTTAATTATATACTTTTGTGGTTTCTCTTCTCTAAATAATAAGAAGAGCTGGAGAAGGGTCGGCTTCTCTTCCATTATCTCTCTCCCAAAAAAAGAAATACTAGCTGCAATGAGCATTTCTTAAACTGGGAGCAGTTAAGTCACTATTTGCCAGAAAACATATTTGAACTTTTGAGAAATGCAATGATTTACTTTCGCTGAAATTCTAGGAAAAAAAAAAAAAAAAGATATAAAATTTGAAGGCCTTATTCCCTTTTGCCATAGGGTTGTTGGGAGAAGCATTTTCAGTTGCATTTGCACCCACTTGAAGATGTCGTGAAATCACCTGCACAGCACAAAGGAGGCCTAGAGTAAAGTGGGAGAAGAGCTGTTTTCTCCAGCACTAAAACGTGTCCCATATCCTCCACATTTAGTGCTCTGGCAGGCGGGCAGCCGAGGGACAACTTTTGCATCAGGACAGATGGACACAGCGGCCAGGCAGGCGTGGAGAAGGGCAGAAGTTTCCCAGTGAGACAAGTGTCTCCCCACGCCCTTGTCACTTTGGAGAAGCCTGGTCAGGGGCAGATTTTGATCCGAGTTTCTACAAATTCTGGTTAAAAACAGGGATGGGAAGGAAGTGAACTGCTTAAATTCCACAGCAGAGACTGTTTGAGGAACAGAACAGCAGTAATCTCATGGCAGAAAGAACAAGAAAGGAAGATGGATGGCTCTCTGGAGAGGAGGAAATAGGTTGTAGGTGTCATGCTGCAGCATTCAAAGTAAACTATTGTGGAAATTTGGCCTATTGTAATCCTGGTCCCGATCCTGGTCAAGTTAGAGGGAGACAGCCACCACAAAGTTCTGCTTCCAGCAACAGTTTGTGGGCAAATTGGGTTACCTGCCTAGATGGTATCAGCAATTAATTTATGAGATTCTGAGGATAGAGTACATTTTGCTCTTACTGAAAAAAAAAATACCCCCAAGCAGGAATTTCTCATCCTGCTTACTTTTTTTTTTAAGTCAAACCTGCATTTTCCTTTTAAAAAAAGTAAAAATACAAAAACAAAGATACATTAGAATATCCTACTGTCCTGTAAATGTCTTATAGGAAACATTTATGGTGAAAAAAAAAATGCATCAAGCCCTTTCTTTAACAAAATGGAGCACCCCAAAGTTCATTCTGACCCAAAGAATGGTGCTTCTTCTACTGTTGGTTTAAAATCACTCATATCACCACAGTTTGAATCTGCATTATTTGTCTTTAAATCTTTTCTTTAAACCTCTAATCATAATTCTAGACTAACATTGAAGAAGATCCTAGTAAGAATGCCGAATATGCTGGAAACAGCATATCATGAGGAGGCCAACTATTCTTTCTATTCATTTTGTATAAATAATCCATTAGCTAAGCTTCTGTTTTAGACTGGATACTTGACGCTTATCACTTTAAGTCCAAATGCCCTTCATATCCCTTACAACAGAAGAAACTTGTAAAATGCCTTTGTGCATCAGCTTAGCTTTGCATGACTGTTTTAGAGAAACTCCCTAGTATTATAGGAAATGTACGTGGGCTTATTTATGTTGTTCGATACTCTAAGTGTCATTTCATTCTTTAAAGGGGTTAGAACAGAGGAGGGGGGAAAAGGGGAGGAAGTCTTACTTAATTTGTTGCATATGTCCCAACGTGTTATACAACTAAGTGTATTATACCAGAAAAACTAAAGCAGTCTGCGCCACAACAAACTCCGTGTAACTCAAAATAGGAGAATAATCTGGCCACAAGCAAATCAAAAATTCAGTGAAACTTCCTCTCATATTATATATACACACGCTTTACAAGCTACATCGAGTGTCCTTTCATATTCCAAAAGAAATACATTGTAGACATCAAACATACTGTACTTTTACTTAAAGGCTTCATCAAACCATATGTGCAGACACTTGAGAAGACGAGAGTGTTAAGCTTCCTAGGGTCCTAGAGTCAAAGAAATTCTGCTGCCCCCCACTGCTAAGTAAGTGCACTCCTTCCACGGGGGGCAACATCTGCCGATCCGTCATGGTTCCACTTGGCGAGGACCCCAAGAAACTTCCTTGGGAAGAAACAATTTTCTCAGGACTGGCAGCCAGTTTAGGGGATGTGGAAAAGTTATATCCATACAGCGCACAGGGACTGTGCAGTCTGAATGTGTTGTAGGAGCCTTGGTGGCTTTGATTAGTGGTGAAGGCATTGCTGGATGGGGATGGCATGATGTACTGGAGCTGTGGAGACATCCCTGAAATCTGCATGGAAATGCCAGTTTGCGGGCAGCTGAAAGCATCCCCGTCGCTGCCACTCATGGACATATTCACAGTTGTGCTACTCGACACGCCGACGTAAGAGGGAGTCCGTGGGGGCGCAAATGTTTCACTGGTTTGGTTTGTGAGCCGGTTGTAGGTCTCGGCCAAAGAAGTGCTGTATCTGTTGAGGGTCAAGCCCGAGCGGGCACAAGCTGAGTAGTCGGCGGGAGCGAGACTGCAGAGTTGGCTGGTGTTGGGGCTGAGATGGAAGGCTGGAGATGAGCACGGGGAACCTGGTAGGAGGTGCGGGTGGGTAGATGGCACTCCACTGCCAGATCCCTGGAGTAAAGTAGAGGAACCTGTGTTTCCTGGAAGAGAACATGAAAGGATAAGCAGCATGTTGAGAAAGATTCACTTCCTAGACTGTAACAGAACAAGGTCTTTATGCTTTGGTAAAATAACCCCCTGACATGAAATGTTTGATGCAAAGAGATCCAAAAATTGTTGTACACTTGTGTGCAAATATGTATATGCGCATATATGTTCTTCTAAAGAAATGACCTATTCAAGACCGGAACACAAGCTCTGCTTCTGCAACCATCATTCAATATATCCAGAGTTACAACTGCTGCCTATGAGGTTAACTACTTTTTCTTTGAGACTTGGAGCAAATTGCATGGTCATCAGGACATAGCAAGCACTCCTTCTCTACTGCTCCTTCACAAATACAGGTTTTGTGCCATCCAAGTTGTTACTAATGGCTGTAGTGCATTTGCAGCCCTTTGCTCTGTGTGTGCCAGCTGAGGAACCAGCTCTTTACATCAAATCATAGAGGCTCCCATTATTAAAACAACTTCAGGGAAGACTAGGCAGAATATTGTGCTCAGCAGCTTCATTTCTTAAGCAGAGGAAGTAGGGAAGTAGAGGTTTAGGCTTGCAGTGAACTATTCATTTGCTGAAATCAGAACCTTTTACATAACAAATAATGCTCTTGAAATGCACTGCTTGCCATGGGCGAAGTCTTTTCTCAAGACTCTGAAAGTTTCTTAACTGCAAAAAGAATTTCGTTTCTTAGAGATTTTATTTCTCCATAAAATGAATGTGGAAAAATATGTTTTAGCCTTCCATAACCTCCCAGAAACACCTCTGAAGAAGGGCTTTCCTGATTGTGAATCACACTAACAATAAAACAGCTTGATGATACAATGAGATACATAGACTGTCAATAACTTAGCAGGATTTCAGGATAAGTGAGCTAGTAAAAAGAAAAAATAAATTTTTATCAGTGAACTCTTCCTATTCCAAAACACCAGACACTTCTACATACTAGAAATCCTAGTGTAAATCCTATTTATTTTTCTTCCAGCCTACATCAACATCTCCACTCTCTGCAGATGGGCAATTCAAGTATTAACAGGATGATTTTCTAAAGGGGTCTTCTAGCAAGTTTCTTTGGCTAAGCTCTAAACTGCACACCCAGGCAAGGTGCATTAGCTTAAAGATGGTGCAAAACGCTTAGCTCCCACTCTTTCAACATAGTTATAACTTCAATAAGACTCTTAACTTCAGACAATAGCAAGAAAAGAAGTGGGAAGGGCAGGACTGGGACTCCCCTGCTTTCAAACAGTGCTAATATGCAAAATTTTTGGTTTGCTACTTTTTTCTGCATCCTAGGTTTTATAAAGCAGGATGGTCATAGTTTTGTCTTCATGAACTTCTGTGCCAGAAAGAAGACTGTTACCTTGTTTGGGTATCCCAGGTATATCTTCAAATGTAAGTGTCCTCAGCGAAGGTCTCCAGAAGGCATAAGATTCTACCAAAGCTTCCAGTCCCATCCTATTTAGAAGAAAAACACCATGATGTCATGATAGAAAGCTGTATCTGACCGCACATTGCTCTGGATACTTCACCTCAGACACATATAAAAAGCTGCAATATTTCAGGATTATTTGGGGGGAATTTGTTCTGCTTTTTAGAGAAGAGCTAACATCCTGATCAAGGTCATTTATGGTCCCTGGGCTGGTAGCACGCAAAGAGCTTCCCAGTTCCAAAAGTCTGGCTCTCAGTTCTGTTTTTTTGCTTTGGCTTTAATGGCATTAAATATTTTCCTAGTATGACATTTCCTTGAGAGCAGCTGCTCTCCTTGCCGGAGGGATGATCTCCTATTTCTGATTAGAAGAAAGGTGATCCACAGGCAACTTTTCTTTAAAAAAGATTCCCAGCCATTGCCCATGAGTTAGAAAATCATGCTTCTGACATGAGCAAGGCATGAATATACCACTTTTTTTTTTATACTAAGTTTATAAGCAAAGTATTGCTTATTATCTGGGGACAAAATACCTTTAGTAACTAACTGTTCTCAGTGATTTTCTTCCAACAGCTTGACACAACAAAACAGAATTGCCTTTCGACACAATTGAGACAGACAATATGTGGAAGAAACCCTGTGCACTGAAGGTAAAGGTCCATTCATTTCCTGACAGAACCTTCTAAATAATGCAGCTCAGAGGTGTAGTTTTGCTGTTACTTTTGGCTGCTGGGTCCCAAAGGCCTGCTAAGTGTCACACCACTAACACCAGCCACATACCAAGCACAAGTTCTTGCCTCTGAGCAGCGACGCTCTGTAACCTGGAATGATGAAAATGGCCCAATTTGAAGCTACCGACATGCTCTTCTAATACAGCCTCTTCCACATTGCGTTTCCAGCAGGATCACAAATGCATTTCAGGAAACAGTTATAAAGTATTTATTAGCTAACCCGGGCCTAAAAAAGATAGCCTTCATTTGCTGCAGTAATGGTGAATTTTCATTTCTAGTTAAAGTGGAGATAAAAGCCACCTCCTGGAGGAGTGTAGCCAAGGCGATAATTTATACAAGATGCCTTCGAACAATTTCCTCATTTTATCACCACCCTAATTTACGCTATCAAATGGCCAAGTTTATTTAACAAACAGTTATGTTTTTTCCTGAAGTATTTAAAGAGAGAAATTCTGGTCTTTTCCTGAATAAAATATTTTATAGGGTCAGACTTAAGGCCTAACTGAAGAATGAAACTATTCTTAGCACATAAATTCTGTTGCACTTCGCAAATGTTCAGGGAATGTGTTTAAAAGGTGAAGCTACTGATTTCTATACCTGTGGGACTGAAAGGGATTATTTTAATTAAGCAGAACTATTGCATGAAGCAGCACAGAGTAAGAAAACTAGCTCCAGTAACTGAAAGAATACTGAAAAGTTGCATACCATAGTATATTTTTAACCCTGTTGCTGCACAGGGGATAAAAATAACAGATAATTCAAGATAATAATAATTAAATATTTCTAATTTTTAATTTCTAATATCTATGTTCAACAACCATGTAAATTAATAATTAACTGAGTAAACTAATAGCTTAAATTTAAAAGGAAATCTTCCTACAGAATTAAAAATCTAAGCTGTATTCACAGGCATATTTATTCAGAACTTACCAAAGAAAAGAGGAATACTGATTTTGGTAAACTAATGCTTATTCACTGCATATAAAATATGCAGAATTGCTCTATAACACTTGCTTTTATCATATTTTCTAAAGCTAATCCAGATACTTTTACACAGAAATTCTTTCCATAGGATTGATCTTTTCATCCTATTCTGCAGACTGTAACTGTCTTTCAATTCAAATGTCACTTGAATGCTTTATTGCTCAAATCAAACTGCTCTTAGGCAAATCAAGATAAACCCCTTCCTGTAGCCTCGTTCCTACAACTACGTTTGCATGGCTGCATATGAAGCAGTGCTATTGCATCAACATAATGTTTAGACAAAATCAGTGTGTTTAGCTATATACATCTAGTTTAAGATTGACTTTTTAAACAAATCTTTATCCCCTATTTTTCAGAACATCCTCTCTTACTTGGTAGAACACTATGGGTGAAATTTTAACCTCACGTGAAGTCAGACATTTCCACGGAGTCAGGCTGTCACCTATATGTTTCTTTGAAGGCTCTCTTAGCATTTATTTTATAGCTCTGCAATGAGCACACGTAGCAGAGACACTGTCTGTGGGGAATTGTCAAAGAGAGGGTGTGTGGCAATTTATTTCTTCCCCAAGTTTACACAGCATGTTTTGTTTCCTCAGTCTGGATTTATCTGGAAGTTAATGCTCACTTAGTTTTAAAATAAGACAGCTACAAAGGAAGAGAAAACTCTCACTTATGCCTGTGAAAGGGGGTTAATCCGAGGCCTAAGGAAAGCACAAGGCCAATTGCTTCCTGCTGGAAGACAAAAGTCTCAGAAAACAGCAAATACGGAATGCAAACGAAAAGATACTTTTAGATGATTCCAGTCAATCTTCATAACCACCTCGCCTCTTCTATAAATGTTTATCTCCTCTTGCATAAGAAAAAGTATTCCAGTTTGCTGAGCAAGCTCAGCCTTTTTGCAGTTCAGGTGGAAACAAAACAGCTTTTAATGCTTTATAGCCTCTGCTACAAGAAAAGCAGCTTACAAAGATACTCTCCGAGCATTCCTACCGGTACAGCTTGCTTCCTTCTCAGGGAGACTAGGTCATAAATATAGCAGCTGTAGAAACCAAATGCAAAGTGGTCACTGGAACCGATGTATACTATGCACCACAATTAAATGCTTCTTTTTTTAGCTGAAATGGTTCAGCACACAATTCATAACAGGCTTAAGTATTTTGCATTAAACAGTCTTCGGACAAAATGCCTCATTGGTACTGGCAGCAGAGTCTAGACCCAAGTCTCCGCTTTGCAGTGCTCAGGTTCCCGATTGCTATTTTGAAAGATCACGGAACAAGAGAGAGCTAGCTAGCTATTAATCAGTCCAACTGCAACATAAGAGACAGAAAACAGGCCTGTTCCAAGGTCATCTATAGCCTAGGAGGAACAGCACTCACCTAGGAATTGCATACTGAGAATTTTAAAATTCTTTAGGCTAAAGGGACACCTGAACACAGATCTCCCCTCTCCTAACAAGTGCACTAAACACCCTGCCACTGCATGAGGGACTTGGCTTCTCTCCTTTGAAGAGAAAACAGGGAGCCATTCATCTACTCTAAACACCACTAAAGTGCAAGAGTCTGGCACCGTAGTTTCACAATGGTATTCTGCAATTTGTCTCTCTTGCCAGAGAAAGGAGATTTCAAGAGCAACCTCTCTTGTTGGCTAGCTGAATTGCTACTAACTTGATTATAAATACAGATATTCCCTTTTATAGGAAGGACATCCACCAAGAGCTTTTGAAACGTGATTCTGTCACCATTAAAAAACCTATCTACTTTCCCAGCACCTACCTGTTACGTCCTGAATCCCTAAATCCTTTGGCAAATGGATTTCTGTCAATCTTCAGACGAGTTATCTGTGAAAATGATTAAAGGGAGATGGTGGAAGTTCTGCAAATTCAGCAAAGTAACTCAAAATATGACCCTCCTGATAGAGCTAAGCTAACAGTGACATTTTCTGTCTTATTTCCCTTGAAGCAGAAACATCTTTCCATTTGTATCATTTAAAATTGTTTTCCTGAAACACAGTAAAATAAGGGCTGGCCTCATGATCATTGCTTTTCCAGGTTCCCAGATAAGCTACAGGTATTTGTGCAACCAAAAGGCAGTTTGTAATTCTGTTTACTGTCATTCTTCACCTAAGAGAATACATTGCCCAACTGTGATAAAGTTGAAATTAATTTTTATTTCTGTATAGGCCAAGAAGATTGCCTGTAGGCCATTATTTTCTATAAAACCATGCAAATGTACATTAATATTTTCAATTTCTTTAAATAAATGGGGTAGGTATCAAATAATTATATTTCATTATTTACATGCTCTTGAGCTCTAAATGGCTATTGCCCCCATTAAATGTCTTCTCACTGTAAAGATAACAAGGCATATATTACTTCCCAAAACATAGCTGAAATATCGTATATGGAATTAATAAAATGCCACAACACTAAATATGGCAGCACTATCAGTGTTAATATTTACACAAGTGACAAAGGAGAAACAAATACTGGAGTCAGGCAACCTGCAGTTTATTTTTGACTCTAAAGCTGCCTTGGAACCCAGATAAACTGCAGTTAATAATGAAGAATGAATGTAGTTAATGAAAGTGGCTGCAGCTTTCTCTGGATCTCAGCCTTTCCTTTAAGCTCCTGGGACACCTTTTGCAGAAAGAGTTTAGAAATTATTGGGATCAAACCCAGATATGATTTAAAAATCTGTCTGGGCATTTACCTACATTTGAAGGTACAAAAATGCCATTAAAAATTAGACTTCTCTTTTCTTTGTGCTTCAATGCTGCACTCGTAATGAGGACACTATTAATGAGGTTGTCTATTAGGCTGTGAAGTCTTCATGACAGGAGTTAACTTTTATATACGCCACATAATTCACATCATAGCCTGAAGTCTCAGCTATAGCCTCCAGGCGCTGCTGCAAGGCTGCTAGTGAAAGCTACTAAATATTAAAAGGATTCAGTCAATGCATTTTTACTAAATGCCGTAATAAAAGAATCTCCTTCTCTGCTGTCCTGTACCGCTCTCGTCTCCTGTGAGAAGCCTGTAAACTTCCCCACGTTACCTGCTGGTTTTGGTACGCCGTGACGGTAGTGAAAACTGTCTCTGGAAAGGAGAATGCCTTGACCCCTTCTGCCGAAGGTATGGGCTTGACGGGCGACAGGTCGTCTCCACAATCCTTGCGGATGACGTGGACACGAGGCTGATACTTATGCATGGAGTGCAGGATAATCTGTGCAATCAAAAGGAAAGGGAAAAGATAACATTTACTAGAAAGGACACCCTGCTGCTTCGGGACTAATAGCTTTTTGGAACAGATTGTGGCATGTGTTTACCATGCCATTTACTGGAAATGAAATGTTTTCTTTAACCTCTGAAGGTTCTTATTACAGTAGTCTAATCCCTGTGCATTTACGTTATTGCCAAGCCTAAGCATTTAAAAATTATGACTCGGGAGCTTCAAATTCAGGAGACCAGCTTAACAAAATCAGGAGTGAAGTCCTGGGCCCACTGCAATTAGGGAAGTTTCGTTGCTTTTTTTCACTTGAGTCTGGATTTGATCTGCTGAGATTAACAACAGCAGCGTTTGCCTTTTGTTTTCAAAACCTTCAGGATAGGCTTGAAGCATTTTCCCCCTCGATATCCTGAAGGCTGGAAATATAACTTTGTTTTGAGCACAAGCTGAGACTCTCACACTCTGAAGGAGCAGAAACTTCGAGTAAAATAACACCAAAATCCCCAAACTCCAAGAAGTTAATAACTCTAAGTTTACAATATGTATACAGGCACAGTGAATATCAATACACAATCTCCTCTGTACATACAACAGCCAAGCATGAAGGGTAAATCTACAAGAACTCTACAAACTTTCAGGGCATAAAGTTAAACACAAAAATATGTTCTGGTATTGCTCCCTGATTTTACAGGGGACTTAAAATGCAGAAATTTCCCTCTATTTCCCTCTATTTCACTTCAGCTAGACACTACTAAAATAGAAATTTTCAAGAAAATAATATAATTGGAAGCTTAACTATTATTTTTGGAAGGTCTAATAAATTAGTAACTCAATAAATAAATAGACCTGTGGCTATTGGCCTGTGGAAACGCTAATCGAAATTCAGGGGAAGCTTTTTAATTTCCTGCTCTTCGAGCAGCCCCAGAACATGTAAGTGCTCCGGCACTTCACAGAGCCCTCGTGCCTCCTTGCCAGGTTCCAGGCAAGCCCGTTCATCCAGGCGACACAGAGGACATCAAAATCCGTTGGATAAACTATAGTTTGGCTAGTTTCGTATGCTCGCCTCTAGCCAGACATGACCCCATTTTGTAAAAGCCAAGTTTTTGAATAATCGAGGGGTTTATTAGCCAGTGAGTAGAGTTTTGAGAATGACATTGGAGGCTCCAGTGCATTTGCTCAAGGCCTGACCCACAGATGTTATCGTGTGAGGTCTCTGCCGGGCACAGCAGCGCTCCTGCTGGGATTAGTTTCCCCACCAGTTTTGAGATCCAAGTGGGTGCTCAGCCACGCTGCAGACCTGACCATAGGCAATGACAAACCACGTAGCTCTGGACAATTTTGCTCATGTAGGAGAAGCAGCAAAGTGACAGGAGCTGGGAGATGCGCACTGCCCACTCCCCATCCCAGGGGTTATTGGAGCTAGGCTGGCCTGGTTATCGCTGCAAAGGGACCTTGCTTGCTGACAGGCTGTATGGAAATCTCCCAGCGTTGAAACATCGCTAGCTGGTCAGTGATCGGTAGCAGGGAATGGTTTTTCTTTTGTACGGCATCTTGTAGGATTTGGTTCCTCACTAGGATGCTGGATTCTAGCTATCGAACACACAATTGCAGGGCTTTAGGGAAGTGAAGAGCAATACTGTGTGAGCTGAGTATAAAATGAGAGGACACGGCGTGGACACTTTTTACCTAAAGTTACTCTCAGGGCAAGGCTAAGGAAGAAGAAGATCCTGGGTTTTCATTTGGTTTTGCTTGCATTTAGCAGGATTATTAGCATTTAACAGTCTATCTGCAGAAGCAGCAACTTTCCCTTTGTACCCTTAAAAAACAACAGCAGAAAGACACAGTGAGGTGCCACCAAATGCCAGGCAGGGGCCAACATTGCTTTCAATCAACTTTTTAAGCATCTTGCTCTCCCTAAAACCCCTCACACTATAGGAGCAATGCACACACAGATACGTCTCACACAGCTCCACCAAGCCACCAAAGCAGCTACAAGCACACCGATTGCTTTCTGACAAGAATTATCTTCATAATAAGCATTGTGTAGATGGTTGCTGCAGCAAGGTTGCCATTCTGACAGTGATCTTAGGCACCACCATCACACAAGTCTCATAGCCAGCACAAAAGACATCCCAATTCTCCTGCCCCACAGCTGAGTAGACACTTCCCACCAGCAGTGACATCCTCAAGGAACCCAGATCTGCCTTAATCCTCTCTGTAGTGCCCACACATTCGAGCTTTCGGCAGGGAGGGAAGAGCCAGGGAGCACGAATTCTCTCAAAATTGCAAGTGCAAATGCTGATGTTTTCCAGCTTTTGCTTGTGACAAGAACATGCAAGTATCCGCTGACTGGAAGCAGAGCTTACAGCTCAGAGCAAAGTCTGGGCAGCGTAACGGCCTGTCTCTGGTCCCAGCCCAGTCACATGTGAGAGAATGAAAGAAAAAACCCAAGAAACAATTAAGACGACAACCATCTGATTTTCACTGAAAGTTAAAAAGAGGTTCCTTTGCGCTAGCACAGATTGACAGGCACAGAGAATAGCATAAAAATAGCACATCAAGAACAGCACGAAAACAGACTTTTTCCCCTCTTTTGAAATTCAAGCATAAACCAACATCAAAATCAAAAAAAAAAAAAAAAAAATCAAATCAGACCTAGAGAACGACTTTCCAATACAGCACTTATTCCACTGATGGAAGATGAGAGGCACTAGTGTATGGTACAAGGCACGTCAAGAGCACGCGCTGCTCAGTGGCAACCGCAAGATAATGATTTACCTTTCTTTATCTCAGCAACTCAGATAAATGACACAAATGCCACAGTGTGTGTCTTAAGGGTCAAGCCTCAGGATCTCTGTAGATACCCTAGCTCTCCCAAGCAGGGACTTCCCTCTGGAATGAGCCGTCCCAGAGTTGGTTGCTTTCCTTGAACGTGAAGCTACCACTTAGCACAGGGCCCAGAGCAACACAATGCAAGCAAGATGTCTTTAAATACGCACAGAAAATAAATATTGCATAGAAATACTGCCTTATCATCTGCTTGCAAATGTAGTCCCCATGCCCACAGACACGAGCCACCTCAGTCAGTGACTCCGGGAGCTAACACCTTGGGGTGAGTAAAAGGGCTCTGGGTCAGTCTCACTCTCCCTAAAACTCAAAAGAAAATCACACTTGCAGGAATAATAGAAAAGCACAACCCAGCCCCCGAATTTCAACAGGGAAACCGGGCAGAAGGTGCCACCTCTGTGCAGGACAGCAGGAGCAAAGAAGCATCTGCCATAACGGCTGCAGCCCCAGAACCAAACGCAGTACGGAAAACACACCAGAGAAAACCAGCTACATCCTGCCTGTGATTAAACTACTGAAGGAATAAAGACATTGTGTAGAGACCGCATGGAGCTTTCCCTGGGCCATTCTGCCTAAGCGGGAAAAAAAATTCTTAAAATAAAACAAAAAAAACTTTCTAATAACGCAAAATACACCCTATCTCCCTAAAAATAAACATGCTAAGCATGGTATGGCCTTGACCTCTAGATCTTTTAATCCGTCATCCCTCCCCCGGTACCCTCTTGAGAAAAATGGTTCCTTCCTGCTTATGAGAAACAATTGTTTTTTATATTCATCACAAAATATGATTATTCGTTTTCCATTATTGCTGGAGGCGTTCAGAGGCTACATAGCTTTTTCAATACAGCATTCCACACTACCATAGCTTTAAAAGAAAAAATGTACCCATTGGAAGAGACACTTTTCTGCTTTCTGCTTTTGCCTTTTCTGGTAATTATGAATGACATGTTTGCAATTTCCCAGATTTGAGAAATATGAAATTATTTTACAGTCATCCTTCTTTTGTCCTTTTATTTTAATGCTTAAATTCCCATTTTGGGGAGGAGGGGCGCTGCCGTAGCCCTGAATCGGTTCAATGTGTCTCACATCACTGCACTGGAGCTTTCACTTCACTAGTTTCCAAACCGAAACACCTAACTAAAGGACCCGAAAATTTATATTCCTCTACATTATGAATAACGGTGTGTGCTGCATACACTGCGCAGTTTTCAGCTTAAAATGAAAACAAAGCTACCATCCGGAATGGAAAAACAGGGTAATGCAGTTCTCTACATATTCAAGATGTTATCACGGGGCAGGCTGTGACTGCAAGTGCCTGGTGGAGCCCTGTGTCCACGCATCGCCCCTCTGAAACCACTGCCTATGAAAACCAGCCTCTCCACTGCAGAAGCAGTCGCATCTTTTGCTTCCTCAGGTAAAGCCTGGACAAGAGACTCAGGACTCAGCCCAGGCAGCTCCCGCTCGAGCAACGTGACAAATACTCAAGTATCGGAAGCACTACGGGAATGACCTAGTATTTACTCAAACGAACCTTGTCAAATTAGATCCCTGAACTGTAATTCTGGAGTAAGTCTTTTTTTCTTTTCTTTAAAAAAAAAAAAAAAACCCACAATCCTAAACAGAAGCACTGCTGTTTCAAAAGATGTAACACCCACGCCGTCTTTTTCAGGAAGAACGTGGTAAAATTACAAACAGTATTATACAAAAGGGAGCCGCTCCATCCATCTAAGTTACTAGCTAGCTTCACCAGCTCAATCCAGCCCATCTCCTGTCTTAGCTCCTGCACAGTTTGACTACAGTCCTGAGCTAATCTCGTTTGCAAACACACAGAAAAAAAAATATCCTTCATGCTGATACTTGGAACAAATTTTGACAAAACACCTGGCTTAACATCACAGAGTTGCAGTGTCACAGAAAGATAGGCACAGTGTCCTTGTGCTGTGTGGCAGGTACATTTTCTTCCACTTTTTTCAGCGAAAGAGAAGGTATCCTGCTTAATAAATTGGGCTATGTTAAGGTCAATGGAATCCACATCCTGCCTCAAAAACTTGCGTCTTACATCTTAGAACTCCACCACCAGGAATTCAGCGCTCCCTTTGAAAGAAAGCCAACACTTGCTATTTATTACTGGATTTTACAAAATTAAAGGCTTCGACCCTGACTAAAAGCAATTCTCATTCTTTAATTATTTCCTAAGGTGTCAAGTAAAAGCATTCTAAGGATTGCTGGAAAGATACTGCCTTACATTTGTCACGTTTCAACAGTTCCGAAGAGAAAAGGAAATATTAATATAACACGTTTTGTCACATTAGATAATGTCATAACTAAACAATTTAGAACTTGCAAACAGAAATGCTCGTGCTGCATACGTCCTCGCCAGCGTTGCGAGAAGTAATGAGCCTCAGCTGTGAAAGGCTCTTGCTTCATAAGGTACGCCATAAATCATTACCGGGGCGAGCCCGGCTCCCCTGTTGTTCCTTTTTTTAATTTTTTTTTCTTTTTTGCCTGCAATTATTGGCACCTCATGGTATTTTGCACAATGGTTAAGCAAATAGTGGGGTGTATTTTTATTCCCACGAAGTCGTGGCGGGGCTACTCGTGTCTCTCCTGGCTGCTCGCACGGTGGGGAAGCGCGCGAGCGACTCCGTCCCTGGGCATGAGGCGGCCTTGCCTTGTAAAGACTGCCCTTGCAGGACTGCACGGCGGGAGTAAAACAGCAGGCTCCAATAAGCACTTAATTATCAGCCTAGGAAGCGGGCAAATCCCAGGTCTGCGCAGCAAATTCCCAAAGAGAAGCCCGGATGCTCCGAGGCCGCGTGGAGCCCCGCGCGGCCCGGCGTGTACTCACGTGCCCCTGGTCATCGAGCTCGTTGTTGGTGAGCTTGAGCTTGTCGAAGCTGATCACCTGCCTCATCCACGTCTCGCCTGAGGCCGGCGAGTCGGGGTGGATGTAGACGCGCGGCGGCACCGGCGAGTCTGCGTTGCCAGCCACCATCCACTTGGAGCTGTGGTAGACGTACCTGCAGGAAGGAAACACGGCGTCTGCAACAGGGAAACTCGGAATAATTTATCCAGCCAGTTCAGTATTAATATACTAGGGCCTAATCAGTAAGGATCCATCTCTTAGCGAACACGAAAAGACAATATATGAAAGTTGGGGGTTTCTTTTAAGCTCAAAAGCTCAGTTTCAGTAACTAAAAAAGAAAGGCTAACGGTAGGTCTCATCTGACCCGGTACTGCTAATATCAGTTCTTTACTGATGATCTTTCCACCATCCTGCTCGCTGAGCTCTGAGCTGCTCCCAGTTCCCTGAGTGCCGCAGCTCGGCTCAGAACAGGCAGTAGCTCATGGGCAGGTCTGGTTCCAAATTTAACGTATCAATAATTCCACATTGGGAAGATGCAACATGCTGAGCCTAAAGTAAAAGTCTATATGTAAAACTACATAAGGAAAAAGCATAACTTAGAATTGTGAGAAATAATGAAACTATATCAAGCTATATTCTTGCTATTTCTGTGAGACTATATTAATTTTCACGAATAGCATTGCAAAAAGGCATAACAACAACAACAACAACAACAACAACAACAACAACAACAACAACAACAACAACAACAACAACAATAATAATAATAATAATAATAATAATAATAATAATAATAATAATAATAATAATAATAAAAACACAGCCCGTATTTAATTTGGTGAGCCAATACTGGCAAAGTTGTTTCCAAATAGAAGTAGTGACAGCTTCAGCAGGAAACTTATTCTTAAGGCAGATACTTCACGGGACAATTTAAAAAGGACTAGTTAAAACCAAGGTATACTGTCTTTCAAGAACAGTAAAATCCTGAAAATCACCTTTTTTTATAATATATAAAAACATGAAAGACCCTGTCAAAACATCAGTTTGTACAATTCAGTTCCTTGAGAGAAAATTAGAAAATGACAAACAATACCCAGAAATGAAAACAAAATGGGACTTCGTGTAGCTAAGCTTTGAAACTAAGCTGTGAAACTAAAATCTAGACCGTGATGAGGTCTTTTCCACAAGTTCTCAACCCTAAATCATACAGCTAATGGTTCTAATATTTTTCATTTATTTCATATTTCTTAATTTAGATGAAATATGCCCTTTTTCTACCAAAGTAAATAACTTCCTAAATATCAATAACACGTTTCCAAGTTTACAGCTAAAAATCCAGAACTAGGTATAATTTTCTTCATTTTTATTTAGTTTGGGGATCTGCTCTGGCAGGAAAAGATTCAGTACATGACTTCTACGGGGTCTTTCAAACTGAAAAAGCCCACAGGACAGTCAGTTTGTGAAGCCACACGAGCAGCAAATGTAAGTAACAGTCAGTAATAAAATGCAAAGATTTTAGCACAAACAGCAAAAAGAGAGATCAAGTTAAACACCAGCGTTTAGCAGGACGATCAAGAAAAAGGATGCTGATATATGATTGCACACATTTAAGTTTGCCAACTAAGAAAATACTGCCCTTCTCACAACTTTCGTTAAATTACTCCAGTTACTTGGAGTCCACCGTATAACATTCAGCCAACAACACAGATCAGTATGAACGTATTTATTTTAAACGAAACACTGTTTGAAGCCTCATACTAAATACTACTGTCCTACTTAATATTACTAATTTTGTTCAATTTGAAGCGTTTGCCTTGCTTTTTGTAGGAAGTAAGAAACAGTTCAGAGCTTCAAGGAAAGACATGCTGAGATTGCTAAGGAAATGCATGCTTGCAATATAAAAGCGACACAAGGACTTTCCATTTTAACCAAACTGCACAGGTTTAAAAAAAAAAAAATCCACATATTTTCCTTTTTTTCCCTATGGTGCAGAACAAAAAAAGCCTTCCCTGGCTACCAGAACTGTATGTCCTCAGCATTTATATCTTCACCTTGTTGAAAAGAAAAATACAATGGTCATAAAAAATGTCTCATATATTGCTTTAGGAAAGGACGAAAATGCAGTCAATTAAGGGAGGACACGCAAAAGACATGGGGCAGAGTTTGTCTAGGAAACATGGCAGCATTCCTGAAGAACCAGCCTTCTGGTCTCTGTCTGAAACGTTCCTATTTCTACAATTAAATCTGCCGCGGTTTTCCCTAAATTATACTAAATACAGGCTTGAAATCACAAAAACAGCAACTGGTAAGGACCAAATACTGCCTCCACTGAACTGCTTGGCAGAAGTCCTCCTGGCACCTGTGGAGGATGGGATCATGTTTGCAAAGCAAGGTCTCCAAAATGTACAGCTCCTAATGGTCATTTCTGTGGGCCTGATCCTGCAAAATCTCCTGCAGAACTGCAGTTTAAGCAGTGCCCAGCAGCTCCCTAAAGCAGGACAGTCCTTGCAATATGAGTTTAAGCACAAACCACTTGATTTCAAACATTCAAATAATATCTAGTTTTCCTTCGTCTCATAACTCTTCAAAAAATGACATTATTTCTTCAAAAGAAGAAATACATTAAATAGAATTACTGGTCCATCTGAATATATACAGATGTTTATCCAGATAGTGAATTTATAAATGACAAACAGTTATTAACATAAATTAAATAATTAGTTCGAAGCATAATCCAGAAAGTTTGTATCAAATATATTCTAATGTCTTTTAATCAGTCATTAATATTCTTAATGCTATTGACATTATCAGTGCTAAGGTTAATACCATTTAGCATTGGAAAAAATGTGCATTTTCATTTTTATTTGTTACTCTGAAATAATTCCCACTGACGTGAAGTAGATTTAAGCCACTGATGAGGAATGCAATCTGATAACAGCATCCTTTTGACCACTCTAAAACTGCAGTCAGTGAAAAAAACACACTGAATATTTGCCCTCAGTATATATACAACATCAGCCAAATGTATAAAGAACTTCAATAAAACTGCAGTTATTTTTTGCATACTTGGCAGAATGTACATTTTTTAAAAAAACTTTAACTGTGCTGGGATGAAAATAAGAATCTGAAGGAGAGTTAAATGCTCCCTTCTGCTAATTTATATACTGTTAATATTTTCCTCCAATAGCCAAGATCCCCATGGCTCGCACGATAAGCTTTTTGCCTTCAAGTCACCATACCTGTATCTTTTGTTATCCACTGGCACAATATCCATAGCAATATAATACTGCTGGTGTGGGTCTAAACCTGAGATCTTCACTCTCATTGCGGGAAACATCCGCCTGAACACAGAAAGAGAGAGGTCATTTTTAATATGAAACAGACTTGGGAACGGTCGTATAGGCGAAGGAACCGGTTCGTGGGATTTTTCTTGTTCTTCCCTTCAGCCTATGGAGTCCTTGCTGACGATTATAGTTACATGGCCATGAAATGGTCCATTCGATATGTCAAAACAGATTTTTAAAAGTGCATTTACTTGAACAATGCTGCGTATGTTTTGAGATACGCTTGGGGAGTACAACTATTACCACATCATTTCGGCTTTATTGTTAGCCAGTAAATCATTTTGTTTTGAGGCTTCATTTTTGCAGCACACGCGTTTCAAGCCCATCAAGAGGTCGCAGCTCGAAATGCCTTTCTGGAGATGGGCAAATGCCGCTCCTGTGCGGGAAGACCAAATCTGAGGGAAACGTAAATCGCCAGCGAGCTTTTAACAGACAGCGGCAAATGCTGGGCCATTTATACATCGGCAAATGATAACGCGAAATCCACGGCGACGCAATTATAACACGGCAAGGATGCAGTTATAAAAGGCAACGTGCCATGCGAGGACCAAACAATATGGTCTTTATTGAGACGGGACTTCCTGTCTGCAACCTACTAAAGGTGAAGTGCAAGAGTGGCCCGGTGGTTGAAAGCTATAGTAAAACTTCTTTATTGGAAGCAGAAACGAATGCACAAGCTAATTTGAGGAAAAAAAAAAAAAAAAGGAAAATGCTTTCACGATTAAGATCATTTCTGCGAGGAGAGAATTGACTAATTAGCCGATGCATAGATTTTAATCTAAAAAAAAATACATTTTGTAATTCAGCGTACACTTGATAGACTTTTATCTAAAAAGTGCATTTTTGGTGGTCGAAAAGACACATCCTAACAAAGAGTTTACCACAAGCTAATGAGGAGTGTATTTCTTTACATTATGGACCTGAAAGCCATTCCAGTTTATGCTGCATTTGCTGCTACCCTTAAAAAAAAAAATCAATTAAAACTCATTACTGGGGAAAAACAAAAAAGTTAATGTTATTATTTCTGGGGGAAAAAAAAAAGGTAAGCCTCATCGCGGCTAAATAGTTTTTGCTGTTGTTTCAGTGCACCTGTAAGATAAAAAGGAAAACCTTTCGACTGGACTCTCTTAAGACAAATGCTGCTTTGTGCTGTTTGAGACTGCGTTTCAATCATTAATAAAGCCGCTCTGAAAACGTAGAAGGTAGCATATGGATTCAATAAAATATGTTTTTGTAATTTCTAATAAGTTCAGATACTTTTATACTATCCAGGTTTTTGCCATGTGTATCCACCGGGAAGCGAAGGGAAGGGAAGGGGGGTCCCTCCAGAGGCACCGGGCGCTCGCAGACTCGGCCCTAACGAGCAGCAAGCGCCGGCAGTCCCCGCGCCCACCCGAAATCGCCGCCGTCCTCCCGCGGGCTCGTAAATCCGCGCGCTTTGCAGCGCGGGCGCTGCTGCCACGCGTGGGCCGGGGCCCCGCACCGGGGGCGGCCCTTACCTGCCCGCCTTGGTGATGATCATCTCGGTGCCGATCTCGTGGAAGCGCTTCCAGAGCTCGGCGCCCTGCAGGTCCACGCGCGGCGCGGCCAGCGGCGGCTCCCCCGCGGAGCCCTTGGCCGGGGCGCCCGGCGAGGCGGGCGGGGAGGCGCCGCCGGCGCCGTCCTCGCCTGCGGAGAGAGCGGAGCGCAGGGCAGCCCGGGGAGCCACGCGCGACACGAGGGGCCCCCCGCGACCCCCGCCGCGGGGCCGGGTGGACCGGCCCCTTTTAACGCGGCCTCCTCGGGACGGCGGCCTCGGAAAGGCGGCCGCGCATCTAAAGGCGCGCAAATGCCTGCGCATCGTATATGCATTTGCGCGTACATGCAGTTTCATATATATTTAATGCCATCTACTTTATAAGTATATATATATAAAAAGAAGTTCAGTGTGCACTAATGTGCATATATATATATATACATATATATATATTTAAAAAATCTATATAAAGTTTTTTTCGCTCCTCGGGAGCCGCCCGCAGCCTCCGGCTCCCCCGCGGGCCGCCCCGCGCGGCGGCTCCCGGCCCCGGAGAGGGAGCGGGGGGGACGCGGGGGCCCCGAGCCCCGTCCCGCGCTCCCCAAGCGAGGGTGGCTTGGCACGCGTCGCGGGGAGGGAGGGGAGACAAACTTTTTAAAATTTCTCCTGGCATTAAGGAAGAAAATAAGGAAAAATAAGACAAAAAATGAAGCGGTTTCGCGGGTGCGGAGCGGGGAGCGGCCGCGGCGGGCGCTGCGCGGGCGCGCAGGGCGGCGGGGCGCGCACTCACCGGCGGCTCCGCGGGCGGCGCAGCCCGGCTCCGCGTCGCTCCCGGCCGCGGAGCTCCTGGCGCAGCAGCCGCTGCCCGCGTCGTCCTCGGCCGCGTCGTCCTCGGCGCCCAGTTTGCGCCGCTTGGGCTGCCGCGCCGGCGGAGGCGGCGGCTGCGGCGGCTGCTGCTGCTTCTCGGCGCCGATGAGCGCCTCCACGGAGAAGGCGTGAGCCTTGAGGCTCATGGTGCTGCAGGGCGAGGACCGCCGCTTGTCGGCCATGCCCTCCCTCCGCCCTAGAGCCCGCGCATCCAGGCGCGCAGCGGCCGCCGCTGCCCGCGCCCGGCCCGCCGAGCCGCCCGCCCGCCCGTCCTCCCGGCCGCGCAGGCGAAGGGGCTGCGCCTTTTCCTCGCCTTTCTTTTTAAATCCGAGTTATCAGCCAAGTTTTTTTTTTTTTTTTTTTTTTTTTTTTAGAGGCAAAAAAAAAAAAAAAAAATCTATTCCTTTTTGCAGATGCACTCTTTTCCTCCCCCTCCTCCTCCTCCTCCTCCTCCGCGCTCTGCCTCGTCTGATGGGCCAAACAGGACTGACATGGGTAACAAACGCTCTGCGGACACAAATTAGGGCTTGTAATTGAAATTTGTTGCCTTGATCTGTCAGCACTTCCAGGCAGGAGAGCGGTGGGAAGAACTCGCTCATTAGCGTCGCGGCGGCGGCGGGGGCCAGGGCGGAGCCGCGGGGCGGGGGCTCCCGCGGCCCGGCCCCCCCCGGCCCAATCAGCGCCCATAGCGGCGGCCCGGGACCCCCCCGCGCCGCGCAGCCAGGGGCCCCAGGCCTTGTCCCCCCCGTAAGCACTTAGCGCAGCTCCCCGGCATCCCCCCCGCTTCCGCTGCGCACCCGCGGAACGCGGGGCCGATCCCCCTCCCCGCTGCCCCCCGAAACGGGGAGCGAGGGCGAGCGCTGCCCTGGGGTCTCGTTGTGCCCGGAAAAAAATATCCGATCGCCCCATCAAATTGCCTCCCGCGCCGCTTTAGGGCTGTTACTGCTGCTTGTGGTTATGACTCGGCTCTGCCGCTTTCCTCGAGCCCTTCCTTAAGCGCGGGCCGCGGAGGGTTTAAGTGCAACATTCAAAGTCCCCCTTTAAACTCAGATCAGGCCAGACAGCGAAGCTGCAATAGCGAGAAAATCAAACTCAGCCTTGTATGAGCATCGCTGCATACATCCAGCCTCAATAACCTAAATAATAATCCCATTCGGGTGCATTGAATAATTTTTTTTTTTTTTTTTTTTTGGGGGGGGGGGAAGGTGGGGAGGGATCCTTTCGTGTCTTTCCAGTAAGTAAAACTAGTAAAATGTGCAGATCTGGAGCCAGACACTCTGTTCTTCGCTTTCCCAGGAAAATGAGAAAAGCTATTGACTTGGAGCATTTTGTTGTGATTTTCCTTTCTTTTCTCGTCAGTTTGCGTTATTTATTTTTAACGGATAACTAGATGAAGGGGTGAGTTATGGTGGCATATGCGTTGAAGGGTGCAGAGCAGAAATACCTTCCCCGTACAAAAACACGGGGAAAATCTCATGGTTTTGAGGATTAGTTTTGGACTGCAGAGAGAGAGTAATTTATAGTTCGCCTAGCTGTTCTTGCAGTTGGGACCATCTCGTTGAGACCGTCGAGTGGCACCGCTGAGATTTCTGACTGCAATATGAAAGGGCAGGAACTGCCGTTTAAGAGACGTTAACGTCCCCACTGTAGAATTTTACTTTTCCCTAAAACGTATTTTTTTTCAGTAATTTCACTGGAGAGGTGACTACTTCAACACAGGATCTGAGCAAGGGCTGGCCAAGAAATACGCCCTAGAGGTGAAGTATCCCTTCAAACAAGGTTATCAGCGCTTCACTTGCAGGAGTGTCCCCGAGAAATGAGGATATAGGGACACTTAGATAACCGATTAAAAAGAGAAACGAAAGAGGCGCCGAAGCGCCAGCCCTGCCCGCGCTGGAAGCGGTGGCGATTTGTCTTGGGAAAATTCAGCGCTACGGAAAAAAAATCCCAGTGCAGTCGCTGTCGCTTTGAATCGATAGGATCCCATAAATTGCCTGGTGCCTGTCACCGGCGCACAGCGCTGCGGCGTTAGTTTATCTTTACATTAAATCTGGGACGTATTAAGTGTTCCCTGGTCTAAAGGCTGCCTGCTCCGGCTGCTCCAGCCGTGATTGAACGTGAAGGAAATCAGATGTGCGCGAGTGGTCGGGACGCGCTAAGCCCGCGTATCCCGCCCGCGCTGAGGCGCCGAAGGAGATCCATGGGGAGAGCGCGGACGGGAATGGACGCGATGGGAGCTCCGCGGGGCTCCGCCGCCCGCTCGGCACCCCCGGCCCGGCCGGGCCCGCAGGTACCGGGCCGCGGCGGCCCAGCCCGGGCCGCGGGACGAGGCGCGAGGGCTGCTCGGGACCCGACGCCCCCACGCGCGGGGCCGCCTCCCGCGGGAACCCCGCGCACACACGCGCAGGTCGGAGCCGCGCGGGGAGGCTCCGGGCACGGGCGCGGCTGGTCCTGCCCAGTCCGGGGCTCGTCCCAGCCCAGCGCTAACTGGTGCGGGCCTGACCTCCCGCCCCGCACCGCGCAACGGCGAAGGGACGCATTGCCCACACATACATTATATACATATATATATGTGTTTTTCTTCTCCTCCAGAGAGGGTGGGCGCTGGTCGTTGCGGTTGTTGTTGTGGATTTCCCTCGCTGTACACACACACACTTTTCCTCACAGATTTCTGCAGCTTGATATGTGGCATGTTGCTTTCATTTTTCGGCTTTCTAAAATAGCTGGATGGATTTGAATTTGTTGAGCAACCTGTGATCCATATGTCTGCCCGATTAATTTTTTTATGGGATGATGAAAGAGAGGAGAATCTCCCTATATATAGCGTTCTGCTAATGGAATAATAGATATATTTTAAGCACCTTTCGGGGGTTGGCTTTATTTCCGGACTTTAAAATGCAGACGGGGGTTTTAGGTGGCTGGGCGAGGTGCTACTCGTTTGATGGTGGAGAAATGCGCATTTAGATTTTCCATGGGGGAAAAAAAAAAAAAAAAAAAAAAAAAAAAAGGTCTTCCCGGTCTTCCCACCCACAAGCCATTTTCCTGCGCTCTGCTCGAAAGACATTTAGGGACTTCTGGCTCTTTAGTGCCATTCACAGAGCGGTTTCTGCAACATTTTGACAATCATTAAACTCGGGTGCCAGGGGAGGACAGCAGATTATCCAAGGGGTCCTTCTCTCTTCCAAGACACAATTTTCTCTACCTTCCTAGCAGGGGTAGGGAAAACCGTTTTCCTGCCATCATCCACGTTTTTCCCCCTGCGATCCTCACTCACCGCATTCCCCCAGGGAGATGGGGAGAGTAAAGGTGACAGCAGGGAAGGGGGCAGCACGTAGGGGACTGGGGCCGGGCAGCCAAAACGCGCCCCACAAGAGCGTCCCGGGATCGAGCCCCGCTCCTGCCCAGCCCCGCGCAGCTCCCTGCGCGGCTGCGGAGCCTCGAAGCGGCAGCGGGCGGAGGCGACACGGGTGTCCCCGCGGCCTGCTCGGCTGCGCCCGCCCGCGTGGACAGCGCGGGGACAGGGCCGCCCGCCCTGGGGCGCTCTGTAAAACCGCGGGGATAAATTAAATTATTATTATCGTTATTGAAATGATGGTGGTGGTGGAGGTAATAATAATAATAATAATAATAATAATAATAATAATAATAATAATAATAATAATAATAATAATAATAATAATAATAATAAAGCCATTTGCTGTCCTGGAGCGGGATAGGGACACGAGGATCACCGCGCTCTACGGGAGGGTGCGACACCGCAGGGTGGCAGATTTGAAGGGCGCCCTTTGCAGGCTCCCGTGTCGCGGTTTGCGATCCTGCGGATCCTGCGCATGTAGAGCGCGGAAATCGCTGCCTTCGTTCCGAGGGAACCGCTGTTTTAAGGGAAATCTCCCGTCTTTAAGATGACGCTTCCACTTACGTGTATTGTTCGTCTCGGATAAGCGGGGTTTGAAAACAATCTTTACATGAAAAAATAAGTGTTTGCAAACGTTACATGAGCGTTGAAGAAACCCCTGGCTTAACTTTTTATTACTATTATTATTGCTTTCCTATAAATTTAACTCATATTTTCATGATTGTCTCAGGAAAAATATGAAAACATGTATGGAATTAAATGAAATTAAATTAAACTAGGTAGTCTTAAATCACTCTAATTTGGAGTGGAGGCACTAATTGGAGATATTTATGTTTGCGAGGCTGGGATTTCAGCAGTAAAAAGATACGGTATATCCCCGTTTTATCATAACGCGGGTCCACGGGAACGCTCATATTGTATCACTGTAAGAAACGATGTGTAGTTAAACAACATTTTTTAACTAAGGCTAGTGTCTTTTTATGGTAACCCTCGGTCTTTAGTCAGGGCTAGTTCTCATATTACATGAAATGTACTTTAAGAAGTACTACCTGCTCCAGCTGTCCAGGAAAAACTGAATTATGGAACTAGGAAACATATGGCAGTTGCATATTGCGCGAGTAAGGTACATATGAAAGTTATAAATTTCTTTTTTAAGTAACCATTGTAAACGCATTTTTATAGGTTTCACAGTATGTATTACATCTGTAATTTTAATTTTTGCAATATACCTTTTTAAAGATACCTATGTTTTCTGTACCCCAGGGAAGGAAATGCAAAGAGACGTTTATAAAAAAAAAAAA